AGGCAGGCGCTTTTGCCGCTGAGCTAAATCCCCAGCCCCCTTAAGCAGCCTTTTGGAAAGCTCCATATGTCAAGGAACTGGAGCCTCTTTCCAACATCCAAAGTCAACTTGTCAGCCTTGTAAGTGTGCTATTTTGGAGGTCCATCCTACAGCCCCAGTCAAATCTTAGATTTCTGCAGCCCTGACTGACAGCTTAGTTACAGCTTCATGAGAGGCCCTGAGCTACAGCCACCCAGCTTAGCTGCTCCCAAGATTCTCTTCACTGACACACACTAACTGTACAGTGGAGGAGGTATTGTGTAAGAATTCAACACATATACAATGGGACAATAACCGGGTCAGAGTTATTAGCATTTCTACCTCCTTAAACATTTCTTATTTTGTGTTAGGAAGTTTCAAAATCTTTTATTCTAGTTCTTTGTAAAGTATATAACAAATTGTTGTGAACTGTAGTCACCCTACTGAATTTGTTTGTTTATTTATTTATTAGAGACAGGGTCTTGCTACGCTGTCCAGGCTGCCCTTGAACTGTCCATGTAGTGCAGGCTGGCCTTGAACTCACTATGTAGCCCAGGCTGGCCTTGAACTCATGGTGATCTTCCCTCCACCTCCAGAGTCCTGGGATTACAGGTGTGCACCACCATGGTGGCCCTACCGACTACAGAACAGGAGAATTTAGTGCTATGTAACTTTAGTTTGCTCTTGAATTTCTGTTCCATATAAACTGAAAGAGATTGCTTCTTGCTGTAAGCCACTGAGCTTTGAAGATTAGCTATAGATAATACAGTGCACAAAATGCTTCAAGTGGTGCCTATTTTCTCCATACGAGTAAGCCACCATTAACTCCATTTTACAGGCAGAAGGACTGACACCCAGGTTTGCCAAGTGATGTCTCTGGCATACACAGCTAAAAAGTGACAATGTTGCCATCGCGGGCTCCGGACATTTCGTGGGTGGTCCTAGGCTCCTTTTTCTGCCCCACCGTTCTTGTTACCTATCAGTAAGGGGATCACACCTACTGGCATAAACCAATTTCATTACATACCCGGAGTTTCTGAGCCAGGAATTCCAATAGGATAATGGGGATGGTTTGTCACTGCTGTGTGACATCTGGGACTTATTTAGAAAATTGAAGGTCTGGGGATAATCTGACAGCTGGGGGGTGGGGAAGCTGTAACATCACTCATATGTCTGGCAGCCGGCGCTGGCCTCTGTCTGGAGTCCATGTGGACTCTTCCTGAAGCTGGGCCTCTTTGTAGATAGTGACCGGATTCTGGAGTGAGGACCCTAGAGGACAGAGTGGAAGTGCCAGCCAGTTCCTTCAGGCATGGGCTCAGAGCACAGCACAGTGTCATCTCTGCAGTGTTTTACTGGTCAACCTGTTACAGAGCCCAGATTTAAAGGAAGGATACACGGACCCTACCCCACCATGAGAGCATGTCAAAGAATGTGGGGGCCATCTTTTAAACTACCATACCCTCAACAGTCTCCCGTGTTTGGAGAAGGGCTCAAAAAAGCCAGTCCTTCCCCCACAGGCCAGACTCCAGTGGGCTGATCTTAGATGCCCAGAAGAGAGACACAAAAACTGGGAGTGTAGCCCATGGTAGTATGTGCCCGGTATGCATGAAGGCCTGAATTTGATCTGCACCACAAAAAGAAAAGGTAGAAAAGAAACACAAATGCCCCCAGCTTCCTACGGCATCTGCTCAAGAAGAGCTTACTAGAAGAGCATACATCCCAAGAGCCCTGTGGCCTGGTTGTCTATGTGTACCAGGCACAGGAAACAAAGACCACAAAACCCTGGGCAGAGGCTTCATAGGGCACTGTGCTGCCTGCAGGGGGGACGGTGAAAACAAAACACCACTGTGATGTAACAGGTGCCACAGCTAAGGCCTGTGTGGAGAGGGGACACTCTACTCTGCTCCTCGGGCTCCGAAATTGCTTTGCAGAAGAGGTGATGTCTGAGTCAAATCTGAAGGGCATCCCAGGTGGAAGGACAAGCCTGGGCAAGGCAAGGAGACACAACTCGGGTTCAGTGTGGGATGGGGTGGGCAGTGCTGAGAAAGCTCTAGGGACTCTTGGGAACCAGATTCCAAGAAGAATTACAAAGGTTGATCACTTGGTTACTGCTGAGAAGTGGGCTTGTGGACATCCAGGGGAGAGAAAGGAAGGGGATGTGCATGATACAGTTGGCACTGCCGTGAAACTTCACAGGAGCGATCCCAGGAGAGCCGAGAGTCGGGGAGGTGTGTTTGGACATAGGGAGTCTGAGGTGCCCTTGGGCATGCGAGTAGAGATTCCAGTTATATCTATGTTTGTACAGCTCTGGCCTGAGAAGCAGACAAGACACATAGGAGATGCTGATGGAGAGCCTTGAATGTCAGAGTAAAGAGACACCTGGTCTACATTCTGTAGGCCAGGAGGAGGTGGAGAAAATCTTTAAGCAAGTACATAATGAACCCTCATTTTATGTCATGTCCAGTCCCAAGCACTTTATATGAATTTATTTGTACTTTACAACAATTATATAAGGCAAACTGTACATTTCATTGATTTAGGATATCAGTTGTAGGACATACCATGATTTTATGTATTGCTAAGAAAAAATGCCCACCAATTAAATCATGGCATACCTTCTATTTAAAATGCATTCTGACCTTAGAGATATTAAAATGCAAAGAGAGCTAGGCATAGTGACACCCACCCAGCACTCAGGAAGTTGAGGCAGGAAGGTCACTACAAGTTCAAAGCAAATCTGGGCTACATAGTGAACTCAAGGTCTGCCTGAACTATATAGTGAAACCCTGCCTCAAAACACACACACTAAAAGAAAAGAGTGCAGAAAAATGCCATAGAATTTTTAAAAACATATTATCTGCACATAAAAGAACAGGCAAGGTTTGGTGGTAACCCTTACTCCCAGCTAATTAGGAAGCTGAAACAAGGAGGGCAATTTCAATCCCAATCCGAGCAACTTTGCGAGAACCTATCTCAAGATAAAAAGTAGAAATGGGTTGGGATACAGCTCAGTGGTACTGTAGAGGGCTTGCCTAACAGGCACAAGAACCTGGGTTCCATTTCCAGTGCAGGGACAGGGGCAATGGAGAAGTTACGCTGGAGCTGAGGCTGTGTAGCTCAGTGGTACAGCACTTGCCTAGCAAAGCTCTGGGTTTGGTCTCCAGCACAACAAACAAAGAAGAAAACTTGCTCAAAGAGATGAAATAAGTTGCCTAAGGTCCACTAAGAGACATAGCCAAGAAACCAAACACCTCAACTCCAAAGCCCAAGTTCTTAGCCATTATGTGGCCCTAGGAGAGAGGTTGCGAGCCATGTGGAGTTTTTGGAGGCCCAGTGTGGCTCTGAGGGGCACACGTATTTGAGGGGTGCACATGGGGCCAGGTGATGCACCTGAGGGGCCGGAGTCCACCCTGAAAGGATTCAGGATGGGTTGGGGACCAAGGGCAGGAGGAGACAGACTAAGGTCTTTCAAGGACTGTCACTTTAACAGAACGTGAGTATGAAAATCAGAACAACTTCAAAATGCTGAGCCTGGAAAGAGGACAGCATGGGAATGCAGAAGGCAACTGCTGCGGTCCAGAGGAGCTGTGCTGCCTGTGCAGTCAGGAAGTGGGGTTTCTCATCCCACACTGGGCCCTGACGATGGCTCATTATTTGTCAATTAAATGAATAAATGAGCTGTATGATCTTGTGGATCTAGGTCTCATATTTCATGTGTAAAATGGATTAGGCCAGCATGTGTGGAACAGAAGAAAGGGCATCTCATGGAAGGGGTAAGAAGTCCTTTCTCCACCCACAAGACCTTTCTGGACACCCCAAAGACAGTGGCTCTGCTGCACATAACACTAACCAAGGCCCATAGGAGACCACTTAATTCTGATTCTGGAGGTGGGGCCCAAGTGTGAGTAGTTTTAAAGCTGCCTTGGAGCCTGCAATGTGCAGCTGGTTGAGAGCACTTGTCTGGGAGCCTCCAGGCTCCTAGTTTAAAAATTTCTAGGCTAGGTGAGGGCTAGGTCCTTGAACTGAGACTTGTGGTTGATGACAAACCTTTCTTTTCATGTTCCATCTCCAGTCTGCCAAACCAAAACCCTTGATGGGGGCTGGGGATTTAGCTCAGTGGCACAGTGCCTGCCTGACAAGCACAAGGTTGTGAGTTCGATTCCTGGTACCGGTAAAAAACCAAAACCAAACATAAATAAATAAACAAAAACCCTTGATGGACAGGGGACCAAACACCAGGATTTCTCAACCATGAACTATGGACATTCCGGCAGTTTAAATTTTTTTTTTTCCTTTTTGAGACAGTCTCACTGTATGGTTCAGGTTGGACTTGAATGCTCTATTTGGCCTAGGCTGGCCTCGAATCTGTGGTGATCCTCCTGCCTCGGCCTCCCATACAAGAGTCCGATACCACACTTGGCTTGAGCAGGTTAATCTTTTGTTGTGAGGACTTCTGTACATTGTAGAATGTTAACAGCATCCCTTATCTCTACTCACTAAATGCCAGGAGCACAGCCTCCCAATCAAAACAATACAAAATGTCTCCAGACATTGCTAAATGTCTACCAGGGTGCTAACCACCCCCCACCCCAGTTCGAATCTCCAAGCCACACTGAGAGCTCTCAGTCCGCTCTCCCCTCCCTAGTGCAGACAGAGGCCAAGCAGAGATGGAGGGCACTTAACAGCACTTTTACTTGGGCCTAGCAGGAGGGAGGCCTCTGTAGGCGGCCAGAGCTGCACAACCTTAATACAATGGACAGAGAGCGTGCCAGCGGGCTGGCTGATGTGGTCTCACCCCAGAAGGAGGGAGTTTTCCAGAACTCTTATTCCCGGATTCCCAATCAGTCATGGGAGGGCCCAGAGGCGATTCTGGGGCAAACAGGCACTGCTTTCCGGGAATGGTGGAGGGGGCCAGGGGTGGGGTGGTGCATGCAGGGGATTCTTTCCTTCTGTAGCTAATTTCCTGGCATCGCCCACTGCCCTGTCTGATTGGTGGAGGGCCAGTGGGGAGGAACTTTCCAGAGAAGGGTCCCTGGGTTCCTGGAGGGCATCTGGTGCTGGAACTGATCTTGGGACATCTAGGTTGTAGGCTCTGGAAGACTGAGTCTTTGAGGCTGGGACTAAGGGATGGCTGATTCCCCAAAGGATGTGGAAATTGTGGCTATCCACTCCTCAGAGCTTCTTCACAAGTCATCTTTTGCTTGCAGGTGGTGGTTCCTGAGGGAAGAAGGGATGGAGAGGCCAGCTAAATCACGGGGGCGGGGGGGGGGGGGGGGTTGGGAGAAAGGACAGAGGGTGGCCCTGGAGAGCACTGGGTGGGGGTCAGAAAGGCGGTTTCCGGCCCTGCAGTCCCCAACTCACTCCACCAGGAGGCTCAGAGCACCCAGAAGCAGGACAGCTCCGAAGACAGATAAGAGCAGAATCCTGGCTTCCCACAGATCGTGACTTCCTGCAGGGAACCCAGAAGGCCGTGGATGAACCTGGAGACCACGCGATGGTCTCCACGCGATGGTGCAAAACGAAAGGCTCAGGAATCTGGACGGGGTGGGGCAGAGGTAGGGAGTAAGCACCTGGGAGGCAGCGTTTTCGGGGCCAACAGGAGGCCTCGGTGCCCTCGCAGGTGGAGCAGTTGTACAGAATGGTGCTGCCCCCTGCAGGAGACAGCGGAAGCGCGCTGGCCGGGGAAACCGAGGCTTCCATCTTCTCTTAGCAGCCCCCTCCCAAGCCCCACGTCCTTGTTACCCCTCTTTTCCTACTCACGGCAGGCAGGGGCACAGAGAGCTGAAAGAAAGGACAAGGAGGGGATGGAAGTGGGTGAGCCGTCTACCACACACCCCTTTGCCTAAGATCCTATCACTCCCAATGCCCTTCTGGAACCCGTACCTTCCCTGATGTACTGAGGGATCTTGGTCTTTTGCAGCCACTGCCAGTAGGAAGGGAGTGAGGAGATGGACCCTTTGATCTCTGGGAGGCAGAATGCAGTTTTAGATTTCTGGGCCTCAACAGTGCCAAGTCACCCCCACCCTTTCCTCCTGCCCCTTGCAGATCAGCCCTCCATTCTCCTCCCTCCCTCTGTCCTTCCCTGCCTCCCGGCCCGCTCCCCCCCTTCAAACCCTTAGGTTTCACCTTCCTTTTGACCTCACCCATGACCCTCAGGACTCTGTGAGTCTTCTCTGTGACTTTGTTCATTGTCAACTCATCTGTGGAGATGGGCAAGAACTTCCTTCTGGGCTCTGTCTTACTTTCCTGAGATCCTCAAGTTCTCCCAGAGGGAAGGGCCAGTGTATTTAGAGAAGAATGAGGACCGAGGCAACTGCTGAGGGGCACAGCTGGGAAGTCACATGCCTCTCCCCTTGGGGTACGGAGGCGACCATGGCTGGGCCTGCTCCTGGGTGTCCGGTCTTACCTAAGGCAAAGTCTGAAAAGTCTGGAGAGGCCCATTCCTTCCACTGGGCCTCCATCTGGCTCGTGAGCTGAGCCAGACGGCCCGGCAAGTCATGGCCTGGGAGGCGACAAAAGATACAGGCCTGGGTGGCTGCCAGGAAAACCCCACCTAGTGTCAGCATCCACATGAAGCCTGCTGGGGGTCAGAAGGGGAGCTGGCCCCACCTGGGCTAGAAAGCCTCAGAGTGCTGACTGATTGGGTTCCAGCCCTTTGCCTAGGAGGTTCTTGAGTGTTCTGCAACAGTTGGAATTTCTAGAATGTTCCAGAACAATGCCACTGCTCCATCCAAGGTTGAGGAGGAGCTGGGGCCCAAAGAACTTGGAGGGGCCTGAAGAAAACATTTCTAGTGGGAGACAGGCAGAGAATACAGAGCCTCTGTTGCAAGGGGGATAGTGGTCTATACGAATCTGTAGTTCAGAAAGCACTTTTATTTTTATTTTTTTCTTGTAACAATCAGTGATAAATAATGAGTAACTCCTTCAGGGAAGAAATTATGCATGTCTATCCCGTCCACTCAGGAACTCAGAGATTCCATCCATTCCCATATCCTCCCCCACTCTCCCAAACTCTTCATCTCTTCTGTGTGCCCAGGGCAGCCTTGGGCCTTCCCCCAGCTATCTCCTAGCAACAGGCCCATGGTTGCTGAGGCAACCAAGCATTCCCTACAGGTCTCAGAGGCCCAACTAGGCCCAGGAACTTCTTTTACTTCTTACAGGAAGATTCTAGTGACTGAAACGCAAATAGGCCCCTCCTGCCTACATGGGTGATTGCAGGAACATAAACACACACACGCACACATACACACCCTATGATTAAACTAAATCTCAATCTACTCACACTCATACCACAGATAAACCTGGGCCAGAACAGTTGCTGGGCAACACCTGACACGCCTGGACATGCAGGGACCACAGAAGGACCATCACGTAGACATTGTAGTCAGCAACACAGATGGAAACTGGATGCCAAGGAGCCATGCCTTAGTCAGGCACACTGGCTGACATGCACACACACATGAAGGCTACGAAAAAGATGCCAGCTTCTCCCTGTGGACAGCCCCACCTTCAAAATAGGATTGTTTAGAACATTTGAAATTCCAGAGGGGCACTCCAGGGGCCTTGCTCCTATATGTCAATCTGTGGAGGCCTTGCTGGCCCCCTCAGGAGGTGGCTTGAGACACCAAAGAAGCTCCCTTCCTGTGTCCCAGAGTGTTCTGGGCCCTCTTTGGCCACACCAGGCCATTCAGCTCCAGGAGGGAAGGCCACAGTCCAGGAGACCCCACATTAAGGCAATCCAAAGTATCCCCTTTCCTTCAGACCTCAGTGTCCCTCCAGAGTTCTGCCAGGCCTAGCTGGCATAGATGTATTTTCCACTTTTTTTTTTTTTTTTTTGGTTTTTTTTTGGTACTGGGAATCAAACTCACAACCTTGCGCTTGCCAGGCAGGCACTGTGCCGCTGAGCTAAATCCCCAGCCTCTGTATTTTCCACTTTTTTAGACCTCTGAATACTGAGCTTCAACAGAGACCATGGAGGTCTCCAGCTTTAAGCAAGAACAAACCAAGAGAATCTTCACCGCCCCACCCCACCCCAGGAAAAGCACCAGTCTAGACTCTAGGGATCACTAGTGAGCCCTCCGTGAGCTCAAGTTCTGGAATTCCAGCCCATATCTGGGCTCCAGTCAGGTGCAGGAGCCCCCCTGACCCTCATAGCTCCCACACTAGAGCTAGAAAGAGGCTTCAGGGGAGTCCTTACCCCACTAGCTGCCCCATTCTGTCTCTCCCCCACAAGCAAACTGAGAGCCACACCCTCAGTGGCGTACAAAGCGCAGAGATCGAGAGTTGAGCAGATCTTCAGGGTCAGGGAAGACAGAGTCAAGGCGGAAACCGTGCTCTAGAGCCACCCGAAGAACCTCCTCCAGGAAGCTCGGCGTTCCCACCACCTCGCGCCGCTCTCCTGGCCCTCCGGTCCACAAGGGCTGCAGCCCTAGTCGCTCATACTCCACCTCAGGGAGTTCTGTGGGGCGAGGGGCCCACTCCAGGTGGAAGTGTGGGCCCCCCTCCGCCCTATCCCCACTGGTCACACCAAATCGGGCTTGCATGGCAGCCAGACACTCCGGATCAGTGCAGAAGAGGTTGGCTCGGAAGGTGTGCACCTGGACAGAGCTTAACTCATAGTGGTGAGGGCCCCTGCGAGCAGAAAAGTGTACCAGGCGGGGACTGACATCTACATCTGCGTGAAGCAGGGCAGCTGTGGGTGCAGGTGTCCCCCGAGAGGCCTCCAGTTCTCTCAGGGCATCCAGGAGAGGCCTGATCTGGTAGAAGTCAGCTTCTGCCCTGAGAAGCGCCGTCTCTCCGTACCCAAGGGGTAGGTCCAGTCTGCCCAGTCGCAGGAAATTGAGGATGTGCCGGAAGGCCTTGCCATCGCGGTCGATGAAGTAGTGGCCACCTCCTTGAGGGTTGCCATTGGCAGATATGGGGGTGCCAGCCCTAAACATGGCCCCCAGCATGGAGTCTGGGAAGCGAGTCAGGGTCTCCAAAGTAGTAGAATATAGCGTGCCCCCCACATTCAGGGTCACGGGGCCCCCAAAGGAGGGGGGCGAAGAGGGCACAGGAGGAGGGGAAATTTTGGGGCGTACAGGCGACAAGGAAGGAGAAGGAAAGGCAGAACTTCCTGGGTGTATGCACGATTGGGTGGTATCTTGGGTGGTATCGTTCAGAATTGCTGGTTGGAGACACAGGTTGGAGTGCAAGTCAGCAAAGTTTGTAGCTCCCCCACGTATTTTGGTGGTGGGTGCGAATTCTGGGCACAGAAATCCCCGAAAGGGTGAGAGAACAGATGAAAAGAGTGGAGGGCAGCCAGAGAGGGGACGGGAGCCTTCTGTCCAGACGTATCCAACTCTGGGCGGACAGCGATTCCCTTTCTGCGGTCTTCAGACAGTGGGGTTCCGGAATTCAACCAGCAGGTGACGGTGGCGAGCAGAGGCCCGACGCTTTCAGGGGTCCAGCTTCTGAGTTTCTAGACAGATCGCTGTCGCCGCCGTAGGCGAGTCCAGGCAGCGCTCTCGGGCTCAGTGAGAGGCCCGGCCAGGCTCCAGGCACCGGCCGCAGGAGACCGCCGCGGAGCTGATGGGAGCAGATGACTAGCCGCGCTGCATCTGCTGCGGGGCGACAGTGCGCACTCAGCCTGAGCCGGGAGTGTCCGAGGGCTCTGATGGAAGCAGCCAGGAGTCTCGGAACTCGGGCTTCGCTGCCTTCGCCGGATGTCGCGGCTGGGCGCAGAGGTCTCGGTTCCCAGGAAATGTCCAACGGGCAGCGGCCGGGGACCCTTTAAGAGGCAGCCCCGCCCCTTGCGCCCCGCCCCTGCCCCCGTGGGGCTCGCGCGGCGGGGTGGAGCGGGGAGCCGGGAGTCACCCACAGGAGGGACAGGGCCGACTGGACGGACGAGCGGACACGAGAGGGAGTGGGGTGACTCATGCGCGTCTTTCCGGATGTGGCCGCGACAGCCCCGGGGTCCTCTAGGTGTGCCGGGCCTCACGTCTGCAACCTATTCCTGCCACTCCGAGAAAACCGAGGCCCCCGCCATCGCGGGCCAGGGGACCAGTTCCCTCCCAGTGGCTCCCGCGGGGAACTCCCGAGGGGGCGGGTGCTGAGCCGCCGCATTCCGGGGATGCCTGTCCGCGGGGGTGGCCCGGAGCGCTCCGTCCCGGCGCCGCGCCAGCTGCCCCGAGGGAAGGCGGCCCCGCCCGCGCCGGCTCGGCCCGCTGGACCGGCCTGGCCTCGTCCCGAGTCTGAGAGCCGCACCCCACCCCAGCCACCCCAGGCTGCCACTGCGCTCCCGGGGAGTCGCCTCCTGCAGGACTCGAGCTCTAAAACTCCCAGCCGCTCCCTGCATCCCGGAAGCCACAGCGCCCGACACTCTGCCCGGCCCGAAGGTGGAGCCAATAAAGTGCAGTGCGCAGGGAAAAGCGAAGCACAGACGCTTTAATGTCGGAGGGGCCTCCTGTGGGGAGAGGAGCGGCTGGGGTGCGGGGCAGAGCCTGGGATCAAAGCGTGTAGAGGTCGTGACTTCGCCGGCTCAGCTTCTCCGGGTCGTCCGACGCCATGAGGGAGAAGTCGCGGAAGATGTCGAGATAGGTCTCGTCTCCTGAAGGGAGGGAGCAAAGGCTGAGGCCGGACGCGAGGCCCTGGCGCGGAAGCGCACGCGGGCGGGCCGGGCAGGGGCGGCGAGGGTGGACGCGGAACTTTCGAACCCAGAGCGCAGCGCCCGGGCCTGTTTGTTCCGAGGCCCTGGATCATCGGATCCGCCTGATGTGTATTTGTTGAATAAATAACGGAGGGAGGCAGGGCGACATTAATAATGGGCACGAGAGGAACAGGTAGAAAGAGGGACAGTTGGGCACGGGAGGGACGGATCACCAAGGGCAGAAGCCCAGGATTTCAGTATCGGGCCTGGGGAAGTGGGATGGGTGAATACTTTACCTGCCTGGCCCTGGGCCACTTCCGCCTCCCTCATCTTTGCCAATCGTAGCCTGAAGGGGAGAGGATTAGAAATAAAGGACAGCCCCCCAACTCCACTCCCCCTCCTTTGTGTTTCGTTCACCTTTCTCTCCAGTGTCCAGTGCTTAGAAAGATGACTGTCAGCAATATGGGTGTGGGAATTGCACTCTCAGGATGAGCACCCACCCTCCACCCCGCTTGCCAGCGTTCCCACTCCTGGCCCAATCCACACTGACTGTGGTCCTTTTCTGCCCAATTCCAGGCTCCAGCCCCGCCCCTCCCGGGCCCCCAACACCAGGCACGGGGCAGGCTTGGCGTTAGCCCCACCCAGAACAAATAGTCCCAGTGCCAGCCACACCCTTAGGCATCCTCACAAGGTGACGATGTCAGCGTTGGCTGTTTCCATGGCGATAGTCAGAGGGTCTCTGCCTTCAGAGTCTTGGGCCCCTAGATTGGCCCCCCGTTTCAGGAACAGGCAGGCGAGCCTGGAGGAGATAACCATGTTCAGCACCCCTCCCCAGTCTCATGCCCTCTGAAGCCTTCTTCCCCATGACCCTCAGCCCTGCTGCCCCTACCCCGTGTGGCCAAGAATTGTTGCATGGTGGAGTGGTCCCCGGCCTGCACTGTCTGCTTGGTTCACATTTGCTCCGTTCTGGAGAAGAAACTCACAGGCCAGAAGAGAATTCTACATGGGGAAGCCAAGAAAAGGACATCTTTAGAAATGGATTTCAAAATGTTTTAGAATGGAGTCTTTTTCAGGGGATGGGAGGATGGGGCCCAGAAATCAGGAGTTGGGGGAGTGGAGTGTCAGGTTTGGCTCTGGTTCTTTTTTTGAACGCCCTCAGGCTGTCGCACAGGCTAGCCTTAAACTCACAGTCTTCTAGACTCAGCTTTTTTTTTTTTATAGTTTTTTTGTTTTTGTTTTTGGTTTTTGGTTTTTCTCCGGTACCGGGAACCGAACTCACGACCCTGAGCTTGCCAGGCGCTTTTGCCGCTGAGCTAAATCCCCAGACCCTAGACTCAGCTTTTCAAGTAGCTAGGATTATAGGCCAGTGCCATCATGACCAGCTTGACTCTAGCTCTTCATAGGTATTCATATATTAAATCCATAGTACAACTTCATGAGGTATGCTATCCCTATTTTACAGATGAGGCCGGGCGTGGTGGCGCACACTTGTAATCCCAGCACTTGGGAGGCTGAGGCAGGAGGGTCACTGTGAGTTCAAGGCCAGCCTGGGCTACAAAGTGAGCTCAAGTCCAACCTGAACTGCATAGCAAGTCCCTGTCTCAAAAAGACAAAAACAAAACAAAACAAAACAGTGGGAGTGAAGGGAAGGGCTGGATCCAAAGTCAGGAAGAGTTAGTAGGAGCCTCAGGGTGGGGTGGGAAGGTCAGCAAGGTTCTCACAGCAGCTGTGGCCTGGATCAGCGGTGTGGCATTCTCCTGACCCCCATTGACCCAGTTGACATCAGCTCCATGGGCAAGGGCATCAGCCATGGTGGGAAGGGATGGAGGATGCCCAGCAGCGCGAAACAGTAGGGCCCCAGGATGCAGACTTCCCAGGTCCTCAGAAGGGGGCTCTGTTAAGGGGACTTGGTATTAGGCAGAATCAGTGGTGAGTTAGGGAGGAAAACCCTTAGCACAGTCCCCCGATGCTGCAGTAGGCTGGGTCACTACTAAATTGTGGGGAAACCTTCATGAGTCAGGACTGTGGTGCAAATGGAGTGGTGTACATGTGAGTGTGCGCGTGTGCGGGGGGCCATGTAATATGGAGGACAGATAGCGTTATTCACCCCATCCTGTCCAATACTGACTGGCTGGATGTGACAGGTGAGCTGACTCAATGACAACCTCTCACGCCTCCAGCCAAGGTCACACCCTCCTTCCCAGGCTTTGAGATCCCAAACTTCCTGCCTCTTCTCATGCATCCTTATATACCCCACCCCACCTTCCTTACCTCATGCTCCTTCCCATGCTCAGCGCCATGTTGCCCCAAAACTTAGTCTGGCCCCCCAGGATTCCCCAGGGGAGGGCCTGGGCCTCACAGTCTACTTCCTTACAGGCCCTAGCACAGTGCTGAGCATACAGCAGACTCCCTGAAGACTTAAGCAACCCTATACCTGGCTTGGATCTGACGCTCCCTGGCCGGGGCTTGATGGAAGGTTTTGGGGGTAGAGGGGGATGCCCCCTTGGGGGCCCCCTGCCACCTCTTCGCCCTCGAATCTCAGGAAGCTTGGTCAGAAACTTCTTCTCCACGTATTTGGCATGAATCCATGCCTCCTTTTCTTGCCTGGAGGAGAAGGGATAAGCAGACACGCATCCTTTTTGCCATCGCAGGTCCCTCCTGGAGGAGAGCCCCAGACACCTCCACCGCAACCTCACCGGGAACAGCTGGGCCCTGGCTTCTTCACTGCCATGGCCTCCACACGGGCCTCGTAGATCTGGTTGATGATGACGTTTCCCAGTTCACACATAAGCTTAAAGAGGCCCAGGCAGAGGCAGAGAGAGAAGCAGGAGCAGTAGGGTGAGTATCTGTGCTGACTTCTCAGGCCTTTGCCCTCACCCAAAGTCTTCACAGTACCCCACGTTACCTTCACTAGTTCTGGCTCCCAAGAGTCAAGGGTCAGGGACCGGACTTTGGAGAAATGAACACCCAGGCTCCTGGAAGGCCAGAGCGGGAGTCACGCCCTGTGTGGGCAGTGGCCTAGGGAGGCTGCTACTGCTCCTGGGAAGACTTCGAGGCAAGGCCTGCATGGGGCTGTGCAGTGGAGCTGGGCAGGAAGGCAGGTGGCTGGGCCACGTTGCTCTGACTTGGTTCTAGGAGGATCCTAACCCCTTTACCATTCCTTCTTCCCACGTTTCACTGTGAGACCCTCATCCTCTCCAGCCCCCTGGACATTGTTCTCAGTTCTTTCCATGCCGTCTCCCTTCCCTCCTTGCACCAGTCTGACCAAGTGTAACAGGCTTGCTAAGACCTCACCACCTCTTCTCTGTCACGGTGGTTGGCTCCCCTACCCTCAGCAGCATTTACCCGAACTTCCTCCAAACAAACCAGTAACTTCCTTAGGTGTCTCCCAGTCCTGGGCAGACCAGGGCACCTTGTGTCCCACAGGCTTGCCTCAGGCCTGGTGCCCAGTGACAGCTAGAACCTGAGAGAGGAAGCCAGGGCAGAGGAGAGGAGAGGGACCTGTACAATGGTGAGGGAGCAGCACCATAGACAGAAGAAGCACAGTTTATGCTTGGGGCCTTAGGGAATGACCTGTGAATGCCAGAGCACTGAATGCAGAGGGTGACACCAAGGTTGATGCTGGCCCACTCTGGGGCTGGCTCCCGGCAGTCGCAGCACTGGGCATTGCCATCCACACTCTGCACCTGGGCTGCCACACGCCCGACTCCCCCAGGCTCCCTTCCCCTGGCTGTCCCACCACAGCCTAGGGTAGCAGCAGAGGGCAGGGTCAGCTGTCCTGAGCCCTGGGGGAGATAGGGGAAGAAAACATAACCAGGGGCTTTGAATAAGGCCAGCCCCATCCGCCCAGGGCAGCCTGGCCCTGCAGCCCCAAGTTGAGGTACCTGGCCTGGGCCCCTGGGGCTGTCATCAAGGGGAGCCTGGCTGAAGGCCGAGGCAATGCTGCTCTGCACAGCACTGACCCACAGCTGCAGGAGGCGCTCAGAGTCAGCCTGGAGGAGACAGGACCTGAATGGGGGATGAGGGTGACAGGGGAGGGGTCTGAGGCCTGGTGATCCATGCCGCAAGGTGGACAGAATGACACTCAGCTGGTTCCAGCTGTACTGAAATACAGCTGGTCCTTCACTTATGATCTGACTTAACATCTTTTGACTTTATAGTGATGTACAGCCCATACAGCCATTCTGATTTTTATTTTCAATAGTGTTCAATAAAACATGAGATACTCAATACTTTGTTATAAAATATCTTTGTGTTAGACCTGCTCAACTACAGGCTAAAGTAAGTGTTCTAAGTACATTTAAAGTAGGTTAGGGTTGGGCGTAGTGGCACACGCCTGTAATCTCAGCACTCTGGAGTCTAAAGGAGGAGGACTGCTGTGATATTGAGGCCACATATGAAATATGGGCTAAATAATGAGTCAAAGGTCAGCCTGAATCACATAGTAAGACCCTGTCTCAAAAAAAAAAGGCATTTTCAACAGTATATTTTCAATTTACAATGGGTTTATCTGGTTGTAACCCCATCACAAGAAGAGGAGTACCTGCACTTCTGAGTCAGTAGGTAATATTCTTCTAAAGAGCCCCTATCATCCTGTCTTCTTCTCCCACATAGCTCTCCAGCCCCCAATCCAGCCACCAAAAGGTTAAGGCCTGGAGCCGCAATGGGGGCCTGTGTGGTGGTGGTCCTGTCTTACTGGTTGCTAAGTATGTAGACATAGTACCGCCCCCAGGGTCTGTACTCACTTGCTGGTGGACACGACCTCGAAGCAGAACCGCCTATCGGAGTCAGGGCAGAGCTTCACTGTGCAGAGGCGAAGGTCATCCACTACCACAGTCACAGAGTCCTGGCAGGGGGCGGCAGTAAGGGGGCTGATGCTCAGCCACAGGTGAGGGCTCAGTCCGCTTGGGATCCAGGCATCCAAGACCTGGTTCTACCCACCTTGTACTTCTTCTGGTAAACCAGTTGGTTGCTCTGAATGGTGAACCAGCGTCTGGAAGAAGTGGAACTAGTTATGACCATGGGCTGCCCTGGGAGAGGCTTTGGAAGAGACAGAAGAAAGGCTGAGCCCTTTGCCCCATAAGGATCTTGCTGAGATGAGAGAGCCTGGGGCTGACTGCGCCATGAGACATCTCAGGAAAGGGTACATAAAGGTTGGGACACATAAAGGTTGTTCACACCTTGAACAATTCAGATTTGATTTGAAATATTTACAAAGACAAATTTCTAGCAGGTGGCAATGCTTTCTTTATTTTCCTTCCTTCCTTCCTTTCCTCTTTTCTTTCTTTCTTTTTTGTTCTTTCTTTTCTCTCTTTAAATAAGCTGAGCATGGTGGCACACACTTGTAATCCCAGCACTTGGGAGGCTGTGGCAGGGGGACTGCCACAAGTTTAAGGTCAGCCTGATGTACACAGTAAGTTCAAGGCTGATCTGAATTTGAATCAGTACAGTAACTACAAGGGCTGGGGATTTAGCTCAGTGGCACAGTGCCTGCCTGGCAAGTGCAAGGTTGTGAGTTTGATTCCCAGTACCAGAAAAAAAAACAAACTACAATTTTTCACAAGTGAAATTGTCTCAGGGAAGGGACTCCAATTTCTTATTTGCACAAAGTCTCATACGGGCTGGTGGTAGTTCTAGAAGGAAAGAAGTCACACCTGGGCATGTTACCATCCTGTTCCAAATGCTATACAGGTTTCCCACTTCCTCCGTAGTACACCCCAAGGTCCTTCAGAAGCCTAGAAGGTCTACATGCCCCTAGAATGATTCATACTTCCATCAGCCCTTACTTCCTTTTCCTTTGCTCTATCCAGGCCACAGCCTCCTCACTGTTTTTCAAATGCTCGAGGGATCTCAGGGCCTTACCCATGACTCTTCCTTCTTCTAGGATATTCTTACCCTACACCTTGAAATTTTGACTCAAAAGTGACCTTTTCATGAGGCCTACTCTGACTCACTGTTTAAAATTGTAGACCCCGGGGCTGGGGATTTAGCTCAGCGGCAAAAGCACTTGCCTGGCAAGTGCAGGGTCATGAGTTCAGTTCCTGGTACCGGAGTAAAAAACAAACAAAAAAAAAAATTGTAGACCCCAAGCCAGGCCTGGTGGTACAGACCTGTAATCCTAGCAGTCTAGCAGGCTGAGGCAGGAGGATCACAAATTCAAGCCCAGCCTGGGCAACTTAGTAAGACCTTGTATCAATATAAAAAATAAAAAATATAAAAAATTTAAAAAGCACTGGGGACTCAGCTCAATAGTGGAGTACACGTATAACATGCCTGGGTTTATTCCCCAGTACCACAAAAAAATTAAAAAATTAAACTGTAGTCACCATTCACCACATCCCTTTATTCTTTTTCCCCTATGGCCCTATTATTTTCTAATGTAATACAATAACATACTTAGCTTTTTTTGGTGGTGGGGGACAGGGTCTCACTATGTATTTCAGGTTTTCAGGCTGGCTTTGAACTTACTATGTACCCCAGGATGGCCTCGGACTCATGGCAATATTCCTGCCTCAGCCTCCCAAGTGCTGTGATTACAGGTGTGCACCACCACGCCTAACAACCTACTCAGTTCTTATGCTATTGTCTGTTTCTGCTGATTGAATGTATGCTCTACAAAGCAGAGGGTTTTGTCTGCTTTTCCTTGATGTTCTTTAGCACACTATAAGCACTAATAAAAAACCAATTGGATGAGTTTAGCGGACTGGAGTGGCCTCTCACCTGCTCCAAGTCTTAAATGCGTTGCTGGCTCGTTTGAAGAGATGTCCTTCCATGACCAGGCCATTAGGTCCCTCCTTCAGGCTTGGTTCTGGCTCCTCCCCACCTAGCTCCTGGGGACACAGAAGGGTCAAAGGGCAACTGAGATGTGCAGAGACTGAGACTGCAGGCCTGTCCAGCTCCTGCCCATAGTCCCCATTGTTACCTTCTGTTTCAGCAGCACATGTCTCTGTTCCATGTCTCTCTTCTCTCGTGCTGAATTCAGGACCAACTGGTGCAACTGGGCATAGCAGGGGCATGTCAGGTGCCCAAGCCTCCCCCCTCCAGGCCAGGAGGGTCATCTCAGAGCCCCCTAGTTTCCCCCCACCACCTGCCTGTTCTTGGGGTCTTACCTGGGCACCCAGTTCCTTACGATATTGGGCCAGGCGGCTCAGCTCCTCATGACCCTGCTGGAAATGGACAGCCTGGGCCTCCACCAAACGCAGCACCTGGGGGACGATGTGGGCAGGTGGCAGGGCCGAGGGAAGACCCCCCCATTCTTCCTTCCTGCTCTCTGTAGTGGGGTCCTCCCCACGTTTCCCTCACCATCACCCCAACTCACAAACTCCATGATGTCGAACTTCCTCTTGTCCTCTATCACATTGATCTGAAGACCCAAGAACACCTCAGGTCAGTCTTGAGATCACAGCACCTCCCTCCCACTGAATACTGCAGACCTCCCAGCTTCAAGGTGACACCAGAGCCCCTAGTACTCCCAGAGGAGAGGCCGAGGCAGGCACCTGCAGGGCATAATCCAATGCCCGTCCTCGGTACCCAGCTCGAGCAGTCCTCAGAGCAGCTCCAGCCTCCTCTGCTTCTTGGGTACGACGCCTAGGGACTTCTGCATTGTGGATTAGAGCAGCCTCCAGACCCTCGGCTCCCCGCCAGAAATCCCGGCGAGCCTCTCGGAAACCTCGGAGACCTCTGGGAGTGAGGAGACAGCACAGCATCACACATATCCCCACCGGGCCCAGAGGAGCCTTTCAGGGTGAGGCCCATCCATATCCCATATCCTTTCAGTAAGCCTAACTACAGGGGAAGCCCAAGGGGCCCCTGGGGATAGAAGGACAGAAGTCAGACCACCAGAAGCCCTCAACCTCACAACTCCTTCAACTGGGGAGGCCCCTGCGGTAACAAGAAGAGGGACAGAGGGCTGCTTTCTGGGAATTAAGGCTCCCTTCCCTCCCATCTCACTCCTTGACCAGGGTCTGGATTTGCTGCTGCAGTGTGTGCTGTGTGGCCTCAAGGAGTTCCTAAGGAAGTAGAAGTGGCGGGGGATCAGGAGAACAGAAAATCCCGCCGCCTCCCCTACCCTCAGCTCACCTTCCCCAACTCACCAAGTGGCTGTCCAGCTTGTGGTTCAGGCTTATAGTGAATTTGTCCAGACACTCCTAGGAAAGAGGAGGCAAAGAGAGAATAACACCACGTGTGGGGTGACGGGGCACTCCCAGCTCTAGACCCCAGCTGCTACGAGCATCTTGGCTGGCAGCTCCATCCCTGCTTCTCTTCCACAGCCCTCAGCATCCCCTGAGCCAGACCCTCCACATACCGCCATCATGGGCTCTGGTGGACCCAGCTGAGCCAGATCACAAATGCCAGCAATGAATGCGCGGCTGGCGGTGAGGTACTGGCGTCCACTTTCCAGGAGGCCAGTTCCCAGCTTGAGGAGCTGGGAAAAAATGAAGGCCATCAGTTATCATACCAGGTGACACCCTCTACCCCATCCACTTTTTCCTCCCGTGCCCAGGCCTGAGTTCCCCTTTTCCAACCTTGTCTACCTCCCCGCAACCCGCCAGCCCCACTCCATCCCTAACACACACACACGCTGTGTTCTCTTCTTTGCTTCTTGGCTCCCACTGACCTGAGCATGGTACAAAAGCCCTGTCCCATTCTTCCCAGCCTGTTGCCAGTCACTGTCAGCGTTACCATTAAAATGTCTTTTTCTGTCCACTCCCACTTGTCCCTCCCTGCCCTGCCTACCTGCTTGGATGAGGGGCTCCCCATAAACTCCAACCTTCTGCACTGTATGGCTCCCAAGATGAGTCCTCTGCATGGCTGGATTCAGTCCTACAGTCTTTCTAACCTGGGGCCATCCATTTCTGTGCTCACTGAACATTCCCTAGTAAATGATAACTGGTCATGTAGCCCACAGGGTCAGGGCCAAGTAGGATGATGCTAGGATGCTACGGAGCCCATTCTATCAGGCAATGGAGCAATGAAGGCTTGCTAAACTAGGAGGCGAGTGGCTGGCTTGAGGAGAGGCTCTGGGAGACCCAGGAGACTGAGCCAGAATCCGAAATCAGTCTTCTCCTGGGTGTGGGCACATGCCTATGATCCCAGAACTCAAGAGGCTAAGGCAGGAGGATTGCTGTGAGTTGATGGCCAGTCTGTACTACATAGCAAGATCGTCTCTTTTTTTTTCCCCCCTCTCTCAAACACACACACACACACACACACACACACACACACACACACACACACGGTCAATCTGATCCTTGGGCCTTGTTATCTGCAGAGCCATGACTACTTTGCCCCTGAGGAGTTACACTGGGCTCTGGCCTGAGACACCATATCTGGATGGAACAGGTATCTGACAAGCCCATCAGCTCAGCAGGAGTGGCAGGAGACCACAGGGAGGCTTTGTGAAGAAATGCTGGGTACCAGGAGCTTGGAGGCCATAGGTGCTCATTCTACTTTTGTTAATTTTTTTTTTTTTTTTTTTGCCTTTTTGAGACAGGGTCTCGATATGCAGTTCATACTGGCCTTGAGCTCACTTTGTAGCCCAGGCTGGGGCTTGAACTTGCAATGATCCTCCTGCCTCAGCCTCCCAAGTGCTGGGATTACAGGCGTGTACCACTACGTCCGGCCTACTTTTGTTAAAAATTAAAGAAACATTCCTGGTAACTGGTGGAGACTCTAGGGAACTATAGGTTGACATGCAAGTGGCTAGCTAGATCAGTAATGCTCAGGAAACAAGATCAAATCTTATCCATCTGTGACAAGAGATAAAGATCCTCACAGCTCACTGTGCAGATCCAGGGGATGAAGTGTCTAGTTTATCCCATTTGTCAGCCTTCCCCAATATGAGTAAAAACCTTTCATCAGACTGAATCAGTGACAAACTGATACATACATACAATATAGAAGTACCTAGCAAAAAAGGGAACTATTGATAGGCGCAACAACTTGGATAAACTTTAAGGGCATTATTGTAAATTTTTTAAAAATTAAAAGGTCATATAATATATGATTCTATTGATATAACATTGTTTCTTTAGGGAGGGTGTACTGCTGAGTATTTGTAGCCACATCCCCAGACCGACCTATATCATTTTTTCTTTTGAGAGAGCATCTTAAATTACCTAGGCAGGCCTTGAATTTATGATTATCCTGACCTAGCTAATCCCTGTACCTGGGATTACAGGTATGTGCCACTGTTCCTCTCTTTTTTTTTTTTTTTTTTTTTTCTGAGACAAGGTCTTACTATGCTGCCCAGGTGAGACTTGAATTGCTAGGCTCAAGCAATGCTCCTGCCTCAGTCTC